CGCGCCTTTTTAGTTCATTCAACTGATTGCCTAAACAGACTACTACTTTTGTCAAATTCAAACTTTTTAAGACCAACGCTTTCAAAATCATTCAGCTAAGAACTTGGAAATGTGCAAGGATTGACTTCACTCACGCCTGTTAAAGATAACTCGGTTTAAAATAATCAGCAAAAGTAAGGGTTTTTAGAATCATCTTCGATTATGAAAGCGTTAACAAAAGATTCCTGCTTTTGAAGATTGCCCGTTTTAAATATTCCCCGTTCCCCGTTCCTAGTTTTCATTTTCCGATTCCCCGTTCCTCAGTTTAAAGATAGCTGTATTTATACGAGGCAACGTAGAAAATCAGATCGATAAGAAAGGTCACGTCACTAGTACTGTACCATAAAAATATTTTATCGTAGGCCGCCTTGACGATATCTAGAAGACCTCTCCTCACAAGCTAAAAAAACAAAGTAGAATATGAAAACCTACAACAGCATTATAATTGGTTGTGCTTACAATTTTAATCCGATTTCAAAGTTGACCTTTTTTTGACATGCGGTAAGCCCCTTTTGCAAACAAAACCTGTGTAAATTTAGAAGGAAACGTCTTTCAAATCATCACGCTCAGCTTCATTGAAGCATGATGAGGGGCATCATTTCATCATAACCCAGAGAAATCAAGGCCAGTGAGTTCCATCCATTGAAACGGCGGTACTATAAATTGCATTAATATATTAGGAGGTAGCTTCTTCAAGTTTTCAGCCACCTCAAAGACTACGTAGATTGCCGGCAGTTAAGTAAAATCAGTCATGGATGAAGAATCGGAGCCCCTTCTCTCCGCGAAAGGTGGCAAAATTCATCCCAGTGGTGATGAGGTGAAGATTTGTCCCGATAAATGTGAAAAGTACGGTACAATATCCAGGAGGAACAACTACCAAGCTGTCACCGATGTTGCTGAAGATGGCGGCGATGGCAGGTTAGAATTCTAAGCCAAAGCATTGTTTTGTGTAAAAAATTCTTCTCGCACGTGTAGTCGTGGAATCCCCCCCCTTTTTTATTGATTCACGCGTGTAGAATGGCTCATGCAGGTAATTTATGTAGATTTCTTGAATTTTAAGTCGTACATTTTCCGTGGGTTTATTCGCTGCATACGGGCATATCCATTGTAAGGCGCGATGTGCGCAAATATTTATGCGGGAGGACGTAGCCCAGCGTCAGAAATACGGCAGAATATAATTCCCGTATCTCGCGCCCGTCCCGAAAAATTTGTGCGATTTTTATTAGCTGCACCTTCGAATCACGTGCAAGTCATGTTGGATTGAACAAAAACAGGCAAAAAGCTACTACGTAGAAAGGCAAAGTACAAATCGATAGAAGACAAAGCCAATTGGGTATTTATGTTGCTTTGTCTTGAAGTTGTGGGTTAAGCCGTGACTAGCTGCACAGAATGTGATTTTAGGCCTACGTTTAATTTGCCACCGAACCTACGAGTTCACACTTGTCGAACCAACAGGTTCACCGAACAAATCGAACCAGTGAGCTCACTTGTAAACTTACCAAAGGAAGAGAGGGCTCCTTGCGAGATACTATTTAAATATGAAGTACTCTATTACCGCAACGACGATTCTCTTGAATTCACAAACCGATTTCAGTGCGGTTATGGGCAATAGAAGTAGAGGACTGTGGACTGTGGACTGTGGACTGCGGACTGCGGACTACAGACTGCGGACCGGGTATAAAACCCGGAATAAGGTGGAAATTATATTAAAAGATCGCTAAAAAGCACAAAACGCGGGATAAATTTTTGCATGAGTGCCCCTCTATGTCCTACAAGGCATTGAAGTGGAGCTGTGGCACTCTAGGTCTATGACTCGATTACAGGGTGTTTCAAAAGTTCGTTCCGATTTTTTCTTCGCTTAGTTTCACTGATTATTAAAAATACCTTTTGTAAAACTAAGTATGTTATTAATTATTCATTTAACATTGAATAACTAAAAAATAAGTAACCAGAATGTCTTCCTTTATGTTATCTGACATTTTATAAGTGGTGAGGTATAGAATTGAAAACGTTACACGGTCAAGAAGACTTGCAGGGACTGATCAAACAACGTGACTGTGCGATATTTCGACTGGCCAATACCAGTCTTCATCAGGTTTATTGAGATATCACGAATTTACAGAAATATATATGAAGTAAAACTAGAAATACGTGTATCGCAGAACCTCGCGAAGCTCGGAGGGGGAAGCCCATAAGGGGTGGAAGGACAGGAGAGAAATGAAGTAAATCATGAAACTGGAGAGGGTGGGTGTAATACTGGAAGTTGAGATGTACTTAATCTCCTGTGGATTAAATTTGAACCTAGTGCTCTCGCTTTAAAAAGGAACTTCTGAGATTTAAATGGGGTCGCCGTTGTTAGCCAATGCTGCATAGGTCCCATCCCGTGTTCACCCCATTTGACCCTCCTACATGTGTTATTATGGTCAAAAAGAAATGGGCATGATAGTGGATAACTGCTGACTAATCACCCTCGAATGTAATAATAATTATGAAATGTGTCAGTAGTATAGTGAGCGGATGGCAATGGTAGGAGATAATGCTGCAGTGAAAACAACAACTAAATGCTGGTAATTGTTGAAAAAAATTATTGTTAGGTGAACTACAGCTATAAAAGTGTTTGCACTTTTTTTGGTACATAATCACACTTGACAACTATTGTTTATAACAGTAAAGTGCAAACATAATCATTGAGATATCACGAATTTACAGAAATATATATGAAGTAAAATAATGACCGGAAATTACATAATATGACGTGGTATGGTGTGGCTACTTAAAAAGACAAGATAACTAAAAATTAAAAGATATACTATATATAGTTACAGTTCATCACGTTTATTGTTGCCCGGAGGCTCTTTGCTTTATGGATAAGGTGGGCTTTACGTGCTTTCCTGAAAGAATCACGCCCATTTTTAAGTTTTTCAATAGGAATCAAAAGCATATGATTGTCGGAATTGCTTGTAAGAAAGTGTTCTGAAACTGCAGTATGGGTGTAATTACCAGTAGGGTTGAGTAATATGTCGTCTGTGTTCATTACAACGGTCTTCGAGGTACTCGTCAGATCGCTGTAGAAATGTTTTTAAAGTACGAGTACGTGGAAGATGGCCATTGCTAAGTGGTAGCCGTTTTTGGAGCAGACATGTCTTACTAAGCGGACCTAAACTTCAGAACACAAACTGTATCGACACGTTTTCTACTGCAGTAACGAGAACACAAGCCGCCAAGTTCTCCTGAGCAAAGAATATTTCCTCTGATCTTCATTGCAACGATTCGACAAATCTTTTGTCTCTCGTCACTTCTGCTAATGCGTATCTGATGTCAATTCTTTCCATCGTGAATAAGGTTTGAACACTCCAATTTTTCTTTGAGATTACAGCCACATAGTCCCATTAAACCAGATTGAAGTGACCTCCGAGACCTGAACTTCGATTGTATACAATTTAGTGGTTTCAGGAGCTAGTGGTGTAATGTAAGATCTTCACTACGTTGTCCATGTACTATTGATCGACAGTTTTCTCGCCCCGCGCGGTAACTTTTTCCCTCTGGAGCCTCTCGACCAATTGGAAACATCCGCACTCACAGAATGCGAGTTGAAACGATTTTCGGGGGCCCTCCGTGCAGATGCTCCCTCACCCCTCGCGTGTCTCCCTCTCGTGCGCCCGTTCTCTCTTTCGCCCACTACTTCCAAGCGCCTGCTACGCAGTCTAATCCATTACATTTGATTGGCGTGTTATTGCCAACCAGAAACTCCCTTGCGCCTGATTTTCGGACTATTCAAAATACCCAAGAATTAGGGCTGGCGGGATTTCAGTTTGACTTGCTCCCAATCTTCACGCGGCAATGGCACTCGCCCGCTAATTTTCAGCTACGCAGGCTATCCGAACGTAAAAACGGCTGCGAAGGAGACCGACGGTCAGTGTGGCCAGGTTTCACCTGGAACAAAAAACTTTTGTTTTACGTTTGATGGGCAAATTCGGGTCGATAGAAGGGACCATTTCGTTTTACGAATTGCTGAAGTCATACAGGGATCTTTTCCAGATGTTTATGTATCAAGCCTGTTCTCATCCGATATAAGTTGCCTTTGAAAACTGTGATTTCTTAGGTGAATGTTTTTTCATTTGAACTTTCTTTTTAGGAAGCCCAAGCTCAAGTCTCTAACGAAATATTTACACGTGGTTAAAGCGGTGTTCTCCAGAAATTTTTTAGTAGTCAGCTCTCAATTTAAAGTAAACGAGAGTTCACCCGATTAGGAGGGGGTCTCCCGCCTGGCCATATTTACGTGATAGGTGGGGTGACCCGCGACAGGTTATCTCAGGCCCGGTTCAAACGTCGAATTTCACATGTGACGAACTTAACGCGCGAGTTAAATGCATTTGAAGTGCGACGTTTGAATCAATTAAATTCGACTGTTTAAATTAAATGCAACGTTTGCCGTATCTGCGACTGAAACAGTCGAAGATTCGACTTAGGTTCGACTTTTGATTCAAACGTCGCATTTCACATGTGCCGAACTTAATGAATGAATTTTAGTAAATTATTATTATATTACTGGGAATATTGACAGCGAAGAGAGTTAAATTCGACAGAGTTCAGTGAGTTAAATTCGACGTTTTAATCTAATGCCGTATTTAACTATTTTAGTCGACTAAAATAGCAATTAGGTTCGGCATATGTGAAGTTCGACGTTTGAACTGGGCCTCACCTGTCCGGGGTCCCCTACCTCCATGTAAACATGCCCTTAGAAATATTTTTATAGCACGCTGTTACGCCACATATTGTAATGCCGCTGTGATGATCTACAACACCCCACCTCACAAGCTACAAAAGAGGAAAACAAAGTAGAATAAAACTACAGCAGCAATAATTTGTTGTGCTTGCAATTTTGATCCAAGCAAGTTCAAAGTGACATGTGGCAAGCCCCCTTTTTGACCTTGCGCAGTTTGCGAGCAAACCTTGTCTAAATTTAGAAGGCGACGTCTCTAGCGCGCGAAACATCACAATTTAATAGCTGAGCTCAGCTTAATGTTTGTGAGCATATATCGCTGACGTTGCTTGAGGGACATCATTTCATCATAACCTCAAGGTTTTTGAGTTCCATCCATTGAAACGGCGATACGAAAATTGCCTTTATTTAGTCAAGCCACCGCGAAGACTCCGTAGATTGCCGGCGGTCAAATAAAATCAGTCATGGATGAACCAGCAGTAGCCGAACCTCTCCTCGCCGCAGAAGATGGCAAAACTAATCCTAGCGATTTTGAGGTAAAGATTTGTCCCGATGAATGCGAAACGAATGGTGAAATATCCGCGAACGACACCGATGATGCTAAAGATGGCGCCGATGACAGGTTAGAATTTGCAAAAGCACGGTGATGCTTTGTATAAAAGGTCTTTTGGCACGTGTAGTTTGCCTCGAGTGTTTTGTAAACAGTGGTAGGAGGAATCTGCGCCCTTATTTTCGATTCACGCGTGCAGAAAAGAACTGATAAATTTATGAGGGTAATGTACATGAATTTCTTGTATTTTATATATATCAAATATTCCCAGCATACGAGTATATCCGTTGCATTGCCCCAATGCGCGAAAATATTTAGCTATTTTTATTGTTGACAAACCTAAAAAAAATACTGACGGATAAATGCGACGGCTATTGCCATCATATTTCATATCAAGGAAAGCTAAGAACAGTTACTTTAGCTTTTAATATTCCATGGAATGTTAAATGCTGAAGTCTCTTACAAAGTATATTCGCTCGTGGTTCATGTTTTAGAAGTGACACGTGCTTTTGTTGCGACCGTGTGTTTTAGTATTTGCAATTTCAAGAGGACATGATTTTTGTAACGTTAAGCAAGTGTTCCTGTTTTTGCGAGCTAAATTTGGATAGGCATCTTCGATATCTGAAGTCTACTGAACCACCTTCGAACGAAGAAGAACGAACGAGAGTTGTTTTTAGTGACTTCATTGCATTGCGTGATTTTTACCTTATCATGAAATATTTAAAAAAGATCACTTTCCGATGACGTGACAGGTTAATAATCTTTCGTTGTAACTAAAATTAGTTACCCGTCATGCAAATTATTTGCATCACACGGGTACATCCGTTGCATTACCCTAATGCACGCAAATTTTTAGCTATTTTTATTGTTGATAAACCTAAAAAGCAATACTGACGAAAAAATGCGACGGCCATGCCACCGTGTTCCAAGTGAATCCGTCCTTTCATATCAAAGAAAGCTAAGAATTAAAATGCTGAAGTCTCTTACAAAATATATTCGCTCGTGGTTCATGTTAAGCGGCATGTGCTGTTGTTGTGACCGTGTGTTTAAGTATTTGCAATTTCAAGAGGGCATAATTTTTGGATGTTATAGAAAGCGTCCCAGTTTTTGCGAGCTAAATTTGGATAGGCATCTTGAATATCCGAAGTCTTTTGAAACACCTTCGAACAAAGATGCCATCTAGTGAAGTTCCTCCTCCTTTGCTTTAATTCGTGTAAAAAGTAAAACACAATCTTCAACTTGCAAACACAGAAGTATCTTCTGGAAATGTCTACATGATACAGAATTGCTGTACTCTTTTTTTATTGTAGTTCATGTTTTCAACTGCATGCTGTACTCTGAACGTATGTAATCCAATAATTAAACTCTATCGTAATCACTTCAAAAACACAACAATTTGCTTTAATTGAAAAGAAGCTATTTGGTCCATAACGAAGAAGAAAGAAAACAAGGAAACAAGAAAGAAAAGCTAACAGAAGCATTACAAATGACGGTGGAAATGACAAGAGGGTCGAATTATAACTTGAACCCACGAGACTGCACACAAACAAAGTCACTGCCGAAACTGCGAAGCAGCTCTAAATGAAAAACCTACCAACTCTCCGCAATGATCCTTTGTTCGTCGTTCAATTTAACATTTCATAGTTTCAAAGACAAGGGCAATTTTGCTGTTTACGATAAAGATTGTGGAAATTTTTGAACTCCACGCAAGCATGCCAGGCAGTAATTATGCGAATGTTTGGACAATAAACCGATCAGAATCACTACCCGGTTTTCGCTAAGCGACGTTAACGGACGGCGTTAAACGGCCGGTTTATTTAGACGTTGCTCAGAAGAGAAAACGATTCGAAGTAATCTCTGAAATTCAGGCTACTTTGATTCGTCTTTTTATGCTCTGTTGAGGTGTGGAGGACGGTAACAGCTGGCTGGGTGCTTCTTTCTTATCAGGGGTGTGGAAGACGGTGGATGTGTGGTTCTCTTCTGATAAAGTGAGAAGGTTGGTGGAGGCTGGACTGCATCTCCTTGTACATGTTCGAAGACTGTGTAAACACGGCGTTTATGGTTTGTTCAGGCATGCGGTTGGGTCGAGGCCTGGTTGCTTCCCTCCGTTTGGGTCCCGTGCGGGCATGCTGTTGGCTAGAGGCCTGGTTCCATCGCCCTGTTGGGGTGCTTCGTGCACTGAAGGCCTGGTTGCAAATTAGTTTTCCGCCTTAAAATCTTCTCAACTCGTCCGCGTAGCTGACATGTTCCGTTTTCCAAGTTAGTTTCCTCTATTGGGTAAGGCCCCAGCCACTTATCTTGGATTTTGTGACCTTGCTTTGTCTTTTCTGAAGCATGTTGCGTCGCAGCTCAACATCTCCCTTCTCAAAACTCTTATTTAGGCCTGCTTTCCTCTTTCGTTGCTGCCTTGTTTTGTTTCCCCTGAGCTATGGTTATGTTGCGTTCTATCTTGGGAAACTATAACATTTCTTGTCGTGGCTATCTTGTCTATGTACTCTTGCGAAGCATCCTCCTTTCGGCATGCTGCACAAATTTTTTAACGTCGAATAGTAGCCGTGTTTGACGACCAAACACTATAAAGGAGCTAAACTTGGTCGTGCTTGAGACATTGGTGTTAGTGGCAAAAGAGGGGGCGTCAATCAAGTCATCCCAGTCGTTCTCGTTTTCATCCATGCCCTTCCTGAGAATGCCCAGCTATTGTTTTCGCGCGGGAAGTGATATATTATCATTAACTTTAGTTTCAGTATACCCAGATCCCATCGGCTGTAAAATCGGGAAAAAAAACGTAAGGTGAAAAGGAAAACGGTGGAAGGAAAGTCTCCTGATTTTACCTTGGTCCCCCTTTATTTTTCACGGTGACTTACGAGACTCGCGGAAATATGACACTTTTAGCTCGAAGCTAGCCGTTTTATTTGATCTACTCGATAAAGGGTTGACTCCAGAAATCAGTGGAGATAGACGCTGCTAGTCATGGGCACCTGTCCCTAATGATATGTGTTCCATAACCGGGAAACACATATCCCCAGTGATATTTGTTCCCCTTTTTGGGGAAACACATTTCATTAGGGATATGTGTTCGGGGGGACACATATCACTGTAACGTCACAGTATCAGTAGCTCCTGGCCTAGTCTTGACGCACGAGAAAACAACACCATACATGCACCGCGCTGTTTCTATAATAACAATGTCGGAAAATTTTTCTTAAACCACCAGTATTATCGATGCAAGAAAATGCAATCTCAAATAGTGTTTGTTTTCTGCAGGCTTTAATTAAATTTAGCGAGGAAAGTACACTGAAAGGGTTTGATCACTTGTGTTTCCCCGAAAACGTATCCGTAGTGACGTGTGTTCCCGTCTAGGGGAAACTCATTTCAGTAGGGATATGTGTTCGGGGAAACACATAGTCCGGGGGAACACATATCGCTGTAACGTCACAGTGATATCTGTTTCCCCGTGATATGTTTTTCCCCGAACTCACATCCCTAGTGATACGTGTTTCCCTACCCGGGAAAGACATATCTCTAGTGGTATGTTTTCCTGGGTAGGGGAGATACATTTCATTGGGGATATGTGTTCGGGGAAACACATATCACTGTGACGTCACAGTGATATGTACTTTTGTTCCCCCGTCATAGTTACCGTTACTATTGACACTATTTGCATTGCGTGCAAATTTCCAACATTAGGCTGAAAGCAGCCCATTCCCGTATACTTAAAAAAAAAAACAACTTTATTTTCTTAACTTTTTTAGTAACGACAAGAGAAAGGAAGAAGCAGAAGAAAAACCACCCATAGTTTCTTTTGGCCAACTGGTAAGTTATCGAACTTTCTTTCAAGTAGAGATTTTTAATTTCGATCATTGGTTGAACGATTCTCCGACAGAAAACTCTATCGTGAATTCTCGCGACTGCCCGGAATGGAGAGCTTGCTCATAGGCTAAAATCTAACCAGCAAACTTGATTATGAACTGATGAGGAGAGAATTTCCGTTCGGCAATGGCTTAAATAACTTTTATCGAACTGTCATAACGAAAAAAACACCCGCTCAAATGATATTCACAAGATTCTTAAGCTCATCAGTTTTGTCAGCAACTGTCGCTTTGTGGTGGTTTGACGGGACTTGTTTTTGAAAAGTGAATCATGTTTTAAAACGATTCAGCCATTTGTTTGAATAAATCCTGTCTTGTCCCAGTACCATTTTTGCTCTTCAGTAGGGCTAGCTGCAAATTGCGTATTGCCTCACTTTTCCCGGCTTAGGGATGATAAAAATGAGCGAATTAGGCGAGCACGTGACGCGTGGAGGGAAGAGAGATGATTTTTTCGAAGGCAGAGTTCCGATTCGACTACGAGTAGTCCCTGTTTTTGCTCAGGGATAGAAAAATGAGTGAATTAGGGAGCGCGTGTGAAACTCACCAACCGCGAGGAAGGTGACACGTGGAGGAAAGAGAGAATTTTTTGAAGGCAAGTACGGTTTCGACAACGAGTAGTCCATCATTTTCCTAAGAGGTGGTAAAATGAACGAATTAGGCGAGCACGCGTCAAAATAGCAGCGCGCGAAGAATATGACTCGCGGAGGGAAGAGGGAATTTTTCTGTGAGAGCAAATACCGGGTTGAGGCGTCCCTCATTTTCCTCAAGTATAGTAGAATGTGTGAATTGCGCAAGCCCGCTTGAAAATAGCCGCGCGCGAGGAAGATGACACGCGGAGGGAAGAAAGAAATTTTGTCTAGCCCTATACCGGTTAAACTACGAGTAGTCCCAAAATTTTCATCAGTGAAGGATATTAGAGCGAGCGAAGCACGCGAGCGCGCGTGAAAATTTCTGCGCGCGAGAAAGGTCAATATTGAGTCCAACACTGATAATCACGTATTGATTTGTCAATGATCGCCCTAAAATTGTGAGGTAATTTACAAATTCCTTCCCACCAATTGATGTTTCATTGTGTCTTAGTTTCGTTTTAGTGACAAGCTAGATGTTGTGTTGATAACCCTGGGCACTTTAGCGGCAATTGCTCATGGAGCTGCGATTCCCGTTCAGTTCCTTATCTTTGGTGATCTAATCCAGAGCTTTATCGAGTTTGAGCAAGCATCAACCGGCAATGCTACACAGACTTACGATCTGAATGGCGAGATGACAAAATTTGCTCTGTATTATGTTTACCTGGCGGCTGGTAACTTGGTCGTCGCGTATGGACAGATGGCGTTTTGGTCCCTAACTGCTACGCGGCAAGTAAAGAAAATGCGTCTTGCTCTCTTCAGTTCCATCTTGAAACAGGACATTGGTTGGTTTGACACATCTGAACCGGGAGAACTCAACAATCGATTTACTGAGTAAGTGTGCGCGCAACTACGTGGTCAGCCTAAGTAGTAATGATAATAGCAGTAAAATAAAATCGATTTTTTTTCAGGGAGGCAATATGCCAGGTTTGATTTAGCGCGTTATACTACTACATGAGAAATTTTTGTCATTTGATTGGCTTAGAGCAGTTGTATTTCTGCTTAATTTGAAATACCTACATGTGAAAATTACAAACCTTTTGCGGGTAGTGGTATAAACAAATAATAGCAGAATTAATACGTGATATTTGGCATAAATTCCACTCGTGATATTTCAAAATTGTCTCAAATTTCACTCCCCTAACGGTTTGTGAAATTACGTATAACAATTTGAAGTATCACTCGTGGTATTTATGCCAAATATCACTACAAATCATGCTATAACCTAAACTAATACCCTTTGAGGACACTGTTTTATATTCCCTAAAGGCATTCGAGACTGGACGTTATTTCTACATAAATGGTCAACGAAGCGGCGCAACCATCCAGCGTCTCGTTGCTCGGCTGTATAGTTCATTTTTTAATAGGGAGTTTAAGATACACGACGCCGACAGCCACGAAAACGTCGCTAAAAAAGTGAATTTGCGTTCTTTCAATCTCTATCCCGATTACTCTAACTCATTTACTGGCAAGCGAACTCTTTTTGAGCCGACCTCCTAAGAACCGTATTCAAGTTCAGAAAAAGAAAGAAAATTTAGCCGTCGCTTGTTTACATCCTCCCTAAAACGTGAAATAAGGCAATTTCCCGTCGTAGCCGTGCAGTGACGGCAAAGAAATGTACCAAAATGCGTGATGCACGTGCAGAGTTGTTGTTTTGCCTATTCAACCTATTGCTTTTTTTGACGTTCTCGTTGTCGTCGCCGTCGTGGCATCTTAAAGTCCCCGTTAAGCATTCTAATTCGCTATGGACTTTGAAATTACTTGCCAATGATAAAAACACAGCTTCGTGTCAAACAAAATTGTCTCCCAAGCATATCATATCAAACGTTACAAACTTCAAAAATGAATGTTAAAAATCTGTTAGGCGAGCACGTTTTCAAAAACAACAATTGCGTCCGTTTTAGGCTCCTTCAATTTTGCCCATCCGTGCTTCCTTTTGTATTGGCCGCGTTATTTATAGAGTGTTTTCACTCACGTGCCCAGCATCTATGCAAATTTGTTGGAACAAAAGAAAGTGTTTGCATAAGAAAAGGGTTCAACTGCCAGAGGACCAGTTTCGGACACCAACATGGCAGCCGTTTCATTGTTTTGGGACACCAATATGGCTGCCGTGATGTCATATGAAAACACTCTATACCTTCTTAGAATGTTTTGAGCGGTTATTTTATTGTTTCACGAAGCCGGAGAAAAAAGCCGACATTTTGCGACGCCACCACTGGGTAGTGCTTCCGATTGGTCGTGCCGCGTGGGAAATGTACTTCAACCAATCAAAAGCACTACCCAAGTCTAGGAAGTGAGGCGTCATCAGTATGGAAAATCTGCAATCGTTTCTCAGACGTAATTTCGCGGGAAACCAGTGGTGACGTGGTGAAATGTCGACTGTTTACTCAGGTTATGGTTCACTCAGTCTGGTGGCGGTTCCCACAGTCCCACTGTTTGCATTTACATTTATTTCCTAGTACTTATGTTATAGATTCACCTTTACCTTTAGTGACTGACTTTTTGTACTGTTTCTTTTATCCAGAGACTTGAATCAAGTGTTTGATGGAATTGGGCACAAGATCGGTATGTTCGTGCACGCCATATCCATAGTGTTAGCGGGCTTCGTCTTGGCGTTCGTGTATGGATGGAAGCTCACGTTGGTTCTGATTTCTGTTACTCCATTGCTGGTTGTTGCAGGTGGAATTTTGGGAAAGGTAACTTCTTTTCTTTTGTGTAACTAAATAAGGCACAATCTAACTGGCACCATTACATTAATTAAAATGTGTAGTTGAATTGCGTGTATTTTATTTCTCAACGAAGACGTGCCGGTGAAGAAAGCTAAAATTACTGCAGAAGGCGATTTTTCACAGCCCTCATCAAAGCACCATTCATACGCGGCAGTGTGTTCTTATATGTTTCAACAATCATTAACTTAATGTGGGGAGAAAGGCGAAAAAAAGCAGGCGAAAGGGTGTAATTGCAGAAAATGCAGTTTCACGCAAAATCGACACTTAATTAACCACTTTATTCCTGAAACGATCAAGTTTACTTACAGAGTTATACTGTTGAGAAGATTAAAATATCTATAGGATACTTGATTAACGAAAAGTTACCATTCTGACCTTTTCCTGCTGCTCAAAAAACGAGCGCGAAGTGTTGGGTCGTAACAACATTCAGCCGCCATCTCGTCTTCGATCTACTGTTTTACGAAAGGAAAGACTTTCCTCTCATGGGCGACAGCGACGCTTACGTCCGCAGAAATGAACAAGATGGGTTTCTTATAGCAGGCGTCCCTAACTCTCTCTCCCCAATCCCCTCCCTCGCTCCCTTGTTCCCAATCCCCTACAATTGTGTTGCTGAACGTAATACTAACTGGAACTGCAAGTTTTCGTAATTCCTTGTTGATTATTTTGAATGTTTCAGGTGATGGCAGCGTTTACAACTAAAGGGCTAGATGCTTATGCCAAAGCTGGGAGCGTAGCAGTAGAAGTATTATCATCCATAAGAACTGTTGCTGCCTTTGGAGGCGAAAATAAAGAAATTAAAAGGTGAACAGACAAGCAAAACTCTCACTCTTTGAAGGGTGTTCATCGATGACTGTAGCGTTGACGATTGACCACCCTTTTGAAGTTACAAATGCCAAATTATTCTGATATTTTAACAACTAGAGTATGTTTCAAATAATATTGTATTATAACATTAGTTTTCGGGAATCTTTTACATCACGAAACGTAATTTTTCAACCGAGTTAACCATTAAGCACACTAACCATCATTTTCTTTGTAGTAAATATTTTTTAATTTTTTTTTTCTTTCACCAAGGAGTTTCATTTTCCTCCTTATCTTTGCCCCTATGTGACGCAATTAGTCTCACTTGGGACACCTCTTAAAAGTTTCCATCGACTTGCTTGTGTGACCATAATTGATAATAGCGTTTAACTTGATTTCAGACCTTCGTGTAAAGCTCAGTTGATAGCTGTCAAAACAGGGAATACGCTAACCAGTATCACATTACTGCATCCGCGGGCTCAGATGGCAACTTCTCTAGGTCACTTGTTTTTGAAGTTTTCCGCGGACCAGTTATTAGCTGTAAATTTATCACAGGCTCACTCCAAATCTATTTTTTTGGAGAGAAGGCCCTTTTTTTATTCGTCCAAGTGATTGCCGTTGCAGTGCATTGACGTAAGCTCCGCTTTTAGCTCTGGTTACATCTATCTATTAAATTATTATAAAAAAAGGGATTAAGAGCTCCCTTGTTTTTTTCTGGGTTCGGCACGTTTGCAATTTTATGCTATACGTTTTCAAATTTCAGGTATTCGTCATGTCTGGGAGAAGCACGAGACTTCGGTGTGAAGATGGGTGTTTTGATGGGTCTGGGAATCGGCTTTCTTCAAATTATCATTTACGGTAGCTACGCCCTGGCCTTCTGGTAAGTATGTTAAATTTTTGTTATCTCTTTTATCCCTTTCGAAATTTAATTAGGTCAGATGTTAGGAAAGTTCTTGCTACTTCTCCTGGAAGTAGGGAGCTCTCAACCCACCTTGTGTTTCGAACAAAGATGAGGGGAGGGTTAAGCTCCGTCGGGTACCTCTCTCCAGCTCCCGACCTATCACTTAAACTCATGAAATACAATGGTTAAACCTCCATTAAGCGGCCACCATAGGGGTACCGGTAAGAGCCCGTTTAATGGAGGTTGGCCGCTCAATAGAGGTTTGTCATGAATTAGCATAAACTTAAGCAGAAAAATCACTCGTAATTCTTTTTCCTCTCTATCTACAGGTACGGGGCAAAGTTGATAATAAATCAGGAAATGAACGGTGGAGACGTGCTCATTGTAAGAGAAATGATGTGTTTAATTAGAGAAAAATTAGTTTAATTATTTAACGAGATAGTTACCGTAGTTTCTGCTGTTGATTCTGTGGACGAAATCCTATGACGCGACCCTTAAAATTAAAACACTACAGCAATGCTTCGACATGGTGTTATTTAATTTGTTTTTTTAATGCGCATGTAGTTCTAACTTTTGTGTCTGTGGACAAAATCGTATAGTGCGCACATTCAAATGAAACCTCTGTCGCAGCTCTTTGTTTTCTGTATGTTACGAAATCAGAGTTTTTCTTTTCTTATAAAAGTTATATACATTTAGAGCAATCTTAACTTGGGACTGAACAGGACGTGTCTCTACTGATGTATCGTGATTAATCAAGTGCTTGCTCAAGGCTTCGTTTTGCAAATGCCATGCTTGAAAAACAAAAATTTTTACATGTGCGTGTAATAATCTGTTTTCTGTTTTTTGTCTTTAGGTATTTTTCTCCGTGGTGATTGGTGCCATGCAACTAGGTCAAGCAGGCCCTAACTTCCAAGCCATAGTAACAGCACGAGGAGCAGCATACAAAGTATTTCTCATAATTGACAGGGTAAAAAGATGTATATATTGTTTAAAGGCAGTTTAGGACTATTATTCCACCCTTGCTTAGTGTTTGAAATCCTCCGGTCATATTCTTGCTCTCCAGCTCTACTACCAAACAGAGCCTCCGCTGGATCATTATTTTCTTTAATTTTCCTTATCTCATTAGCTGGCGTTAGCTTGCAATGAAGAATTTACCGGGGGAAATATATTAATCAACGAGCTCTATTAATAAGTTGTTGCACTAACAGCCAGGTGCAACGACAGACGATCACAGAAGAGACGGCAATCAGGTCTACAAGTCATAAATGTTCAGAAGAAAATATGTTTACGTGGACAAATACATTGTAAATTTAAAAAAAAATACCCTAAAAATGGGGCGCTTTGGGTGAGTTAAATACAGTTCTTTTTTTGTGGTCTAATTTGGCTCTCTTATCCGGGTAAATACATTTCAGTCCAATTACCTTGGGCTGATTAGGACCCACGGACTGAAATTAGTTCCAGAATGGGCTGGAATAGGCATTCCGGCCCTGCTTGCCGTAGAGTCTCCAGTGGCTCATTGGTTAGAGCATCCGAACTTGAAGTCGTTGGAGGGTTGTCAGTTCGATTCTCACTTGGAGCTCGTAATTTTTCGCTGAGCTTTCTGGTATCAGGATTCTCCTTCTACCAAATTATATTGTACAGTCTTGGTCTTTTACGCTGTTGGACGGCCGATTTCTAGCAAGTCCCCGATACAGTCCTCTATGACCGGTGTAGTTATAATAAAATTCCGATCCTGCTCGCTATAGTCTCTAGTGGCTCAGTGGTTAGAGCGTCCGAACTAGAACTCGGAGGGTCGTGAGTTCGATTCTCAGCTGGAGGTCGGAATTTTTTTCTGAGCTTTCTGGTACTAGGATTCTCCTTCTTCCAAATGATAGTGTACAGTCTTGGTCTTGTACGCTGGTGGACAGCCGATATTTCGAGCAAGTCCTCGATACAGTCCTCTATGACCTGGTGTAGTTATAATTAAATTCCGACCCTGCTCGCCATAGCCTCTGGGGGCTCAGTGGTTAGAGCAGCCGAACTAGAACTCGGAAGTTCGTGAGTTCGATTCTCACCTTTCTGCTATCAGGATTCTCCTTCTTCCAAATTGGATGTGGCTGTTTCGAATTGTGCTCAATTGGCTCCAGAAAAGGCTGAATCCGTCAGATTTGGGCCTGCAACTAAAAAAGCGTTTTCAGTGACGTGGTCAACAGCTTTGCAAATTTATCGTCACAAAAGGAAGTTTTTATATCAAAAGAAGGTTCAACTCCCACAGACTAATTTAGAACACCAACATGGCCGCCGTTTTATTGTCTTGGGACACCAATATGTCGGACGTGACGTCATGTATAAGCGGTCTATTGGCACATAACCCTTTAAGCCCCAATATCCAAACACAAATTCTCCAGACTGATCTCCATGCATTTCCGTAAAGAATTGGTTGAGAGAATTTGTTTGCTGATCAAAGCTTTTCCCATCGGTGATCATTTCAGTAATTCCCACAACATTTTCTCTCGATGATGTATAGATGGCGTTAAGAGAAAATTGACTTTGGTTGCTCCTTAGACGTAAAGGGTTAAGGGCTGAAACAGATCTTTTTAATTTTCAGTGTGGTTATACATGTGGAACTTGCTGACGCTCTTTTTTTGTTTTCTTTCACTCGCTAGGTTCCCCCATTCGACTCCAGTTCCACTGAGGGAACAGTCATCGAACATGAATCTTTTAAAGGAGATATAACTTTTAACAACATCGAATTTTCTTATCCTTCGAGGCCAGACGTGAAGGTATTTAATATGAAATGGAGAAAGATAGCTTACCAGTGTCTATGAATTTTTCATTTATCTTTCTTTCTCAGGTTAATCAGCAGATATTATTAAGAACTAAGGTGAAATACGCGTATATGACCTTCAGGGCATGTCCCCACTGGTCCATTTAAAGTGATTCCCTTGTTTTGCACTGCGTATCGCCTACTGCGCATAACACTGCGACGTCAAAGTTAGCGTCTTGTTATTTAAGACTATATGGATGGTTAGGGGGGACCTATATTGAAGCTGTGAAAAATTGTTAATGACTTCCGCACAGAATTGACCTAAACCAGCAATATGCTCTTCACGCATAGTCCCTTTAAGTTGTAATCGCACCCGTGAACTATATATTAGAACAGCTTCGCGAGAGTGGATGAGTTCATAAACGGAACAATATCACGCTCTCGTGGAGACAAACACGAAGACGAGTTTTGGTGCAGCATTTGCAAACTTGTTCGGATTTGTGTGGCGTAGCCTTAGTGACTTTTTCTCGTGCTTTGTTCCTTTAAGATTTTGAATGGTTTGAACCTGACTGTAGACAGCGGACAGACTGTTGCCTTAGTGGGTGAAAGTGGCTGCGGAAAGAGCACAGTGGTCAAGCTCGTGCAGAGGTTTTACGATCCCAGTAGCGGTGAGGTAAGACGCTCCCCGCCCCCTTCCACCTTCTAACTCTTCAAAGTTTAGCTCTTATCTGTGTTATTAAAGGCTGGTAAAATCATAAATAACTTCGTCTAGACTATCCCCTGGTCGTATTCTCATGGCTTGAAGCTTTTCGTCATTTGATTTTCGGCAGTTGAGTGCCTTTATAGCTTATTCTTTGACCACAATGGGAGTCTTCTTTTTCTCCGTAAGGAGAGGATGTGACTGAATGCTAACCCCCCCCCCCCCCCCCNAAAAAAAAAAAGAAACAAGGGCAATGCCCGCATCACCCTTAATGAACAAGAGAAAGATAAAGTCAGTCGTCAGTTAATATCATTATGATTTGTGGCTCTGTGGTTTAAGACAACAAGGTCATAATAAACATCTGCTTTAAACTTACTCGTGCGTTCTTCTGTATATACGTTTAATTTGCTGCTCCTATATGCGAAGGTATCTGTTGATGGTCATGACATTCCCAGTCTGAACTTAAAGTGGTTGCGTGAGCACATTGGGGTTGTAAGTCAAGAACCTGTTCTTTTCGACACAACAATAGCAGAGAATATCAGGTACGGCAAGGAGGATGTGACACAGGAAGAAATAGAAAAAGCAACAAAGATGGCGAATGCCCATGACTTTATCAGGAGTCTTCCCAAGGTTAGTCGATCTAGTTTGGGTACATGTAAGAAACACTTAGCGCCTCTATGAGGTACGTAAGTAGCCAACGGCTACCTGATCTAGGTCCAGAGTCTAGAGTCTAGGTCTAGAGGTCTGGAGTACGTGCAAAATGTATGACCGTTTGGCTGTCTGCCTCGCTAGGATACCTAGGACAAAATGAAAATTTCGCCCAACAAAAATCTTGTGGTTTTCATGTGACTTATCGTGTAACGCGTAATAATGATCACGTTTGAAAACTAAGGAAGGGAAAATTGGTGACGAATTTACCATTCTCGTAAGCGATCACTTTGAAAATGACCGTGTTGTTTCCCAGTCAAATACTGTTTTAGAAACTCTTTCGTAAGTGACCACTACTTATCTGAAGTGTAACCTTCCATTGACCTAAAGTACATTTAGTTATGCGATTATCAAGATTCTGATTATTACTGTTGTTGTTGTTATTTCTATCAGGGCTATGATACTCTTGTTGGTGAAGGTGGTACTCAGTTAAGTGGAGGGCAGAAGCAGCGTATCGCTATTGCACGAGCCCTCGTAAAAGATCCCAGGATATTGTTGTTGGATGAAGCAACCTCGGCCTTGGACAGTGAAAGTGAATCCATTGTACAAGCTGCACTGGATCGAGTAAGAAATTTGCATTCAGATTCTTAACGTATTACAAACATTTTTGAGGTATACTTAGTAAATTTGAGTTTCCCAATGAAAGTGTGTCCAGCGGAAATCTTACTAATAGTTAGAACACCAGTAAAACGGAACAGTTGTAAAATGCCTTTATTGGCTGAGGATGCGTAAAAAAGAGATTAGAATTGGTTTAGTACATAAACCCGATTGCAGAACGTTTTTAAATTTTATTTGAAATTGTGATGTGTTTACACCGTGTTAAAGTCAAGTGCAACCTACAGATAACTGGAGATGAAAGCTGGTATTTCGGATTTTAGTCTCAAAACGCCAGGGTCGTACAACCAGCAAAGTTGAAACTATGAATACGGTCAACAAGTTGTTTTTTTGGTCATCTTGGCGGACGCGCTAGGTTTGTGCTTACGGCTGTGATTGATTTGGAAAAGGTTAATAATCCCGAGAATGCTAATAATAATAAATTATTATTACCAATGTTATCTCTTACAGGCACGTCAAGGTCGTACAACTATTGTGATTGCCCATCGCCTCTCGACAGTCCAGAATGCTGACTTAATTGCAGTTATTCAGGAAGGCATGATCGTCGAGAAAGGTAGTCATGATGAACTCATGAATATTGATGGACTATATCGACAGCTTGTTATGCTTCAGGTATGTATGCCTTCATTTAACTTATAAATGATTTAATTCAGGTTTCATTTCAGATGCCAAAATCCAAATCTGCAGAGCGAGTGATGCAATGGAACTCTAACGCGCCTGTACCGTACCGCTGAGTGATATCAGACTCTTAAGTGGAAATTGTCGCTCACCCTTTCGACTAACTGAGTGTCGAACGCTGTGGGTGTTTAAAATTTACAATGTTTTCAGAACTAACTGAAGAAACGCTAAAACGCATCGAGAGGCCTAAATATACGCTACTACGGCGTCTTGATTTAGTTTTCTACTATGAACAATAAACAGAAAACGTATTGAGACCTTTAATATCAAAATGCTTCCAAACGATGATGATGCGTTCCTTCCATCTATGTCTTCCACCGTTGGTAATTTTTAAAACCAGAATATTCAACATAGATCAGGTAAGGTCGTTGGTTTGTCCAAAACCCAAACAAATGGTCCTCGTATTTTAATGGAAGACTATTCAGAACCACAGAGAAAAGCGAAAGGTGGAAAATACGGAAACTTATTGCACGGAGGCTGTCATTATAGTTCCTAAACGGCCACTTGAATTACGGGCAGTTTCAGTAAAGTATAATTATATTCTTTCTTGCTACTGCTCAGCAACAGCTGATAGTTGTTGCTTTCGTTAGTGTGACCATGTCTTCCGTAAACTTTGAACCCGACCATTTTAACGGCATAACATATTCGCTGAGCCTCTGGAGTATTTTTTTTTTGTAGATTTTCAAGCAGGAGGAAGAAGGTAAAGATAAGGACAATGACGATGAAATTAATGAACAGACGAATTGTAGTGAAGGAAAGGGAGTGAGAACTTCAGGTTCGTTCATCCGTAATATTTGACACTCGTCCCATTATCTACTGTCAATAGTGGGTTTCTACCCATAAGAGCTCAAAGCGTGACTGCGCAAGGGAATAATAAAGTGATCGTTTTTGATAATAAGATATTAATTTTAATCTTCTTATGGATACGTTGGAAGATATATTTTTCGACTCGGTATCAGGTAGTGAGTACAATTTTTACTCGAACACCTAATTAAATGACCACGGCCAAAACTTCTCAAGAATAGATATGAAGCAAGGTGGTTACCAGTGCTTTGATCAAGCAAGCTTGATTTTTTACTTTTTTTTTTTCATTTGCTTGCAGTGTCGTCAGCACCAGCCAACTACTTTCGTAGTGTTTCACGCATGTCAAGCGATAGTGAACGCGAAGGTCCTGTCCCAGGAAAGTTGAGAGCAGGTTCAATGCTGGATAAGGTAGAGGTAAACACTGCATTATGAAGGATGCGTCATGGTTGAATATGGCTGTTAAAATTTTGAACCCAGGACCTGACTATGAAAGAGTGACTGGACAACCGACAATTTGACTAAAAATAAACGACTGTTTGACTGTGCCAATAGACGGATCGATCGAAACGCACCAGTGACATAACTAGTCTCCATAGCCAATAACTGACAGACGACAAATGACATCAAGACTTTATTGACCAATCAGGTCAATTTTTTTTAATACCATTAGCTGACGTGATACAATTCACTTTGACTCTGAAGAAGACCACCGCACAAGTTGCCGGACCGTCTGTCACTGGCAACAACAGGTCTATTCAGGACTACGTTAACCCGGATGATCATGCTCAACCTACGCATGATTAAGTATGGATGTATGAATCAAATGGTGACGAGTGAAATAAGGGAATAATTTCACACGCACTTTGTCCAAATTCCAATAATTTCCCGAATCTTCAGGCGCGAAGCGTTTTGCCAGCTCTCTTCTTCTTTTTTTTTTTACCTCTCGCCAAACAAACCGCTACCTACTGACGCCCGCTAATTGTGCTTTCTGAGAATTGCCTTGACCTTCGCATGGCCTGGAAAGACACTCTCTCCTGTCTTTAGCGGCTAACTTATAAAGCACTCCATGCTAAATATCTTGACATACAGATAGAAGGGATTTTATAACTTAAATAATTATTATTTGGTGTCTTTGCCTTAGGATAAGAAAGACAAAGGTGACGAAGAAAAGATTTTAGAAGAAGAAGTGGAACCTGCTCCATTTATGCGCATCTTGAAGTTGAACACTCCGGAATGGCCTTACATTTTCTTTGGAAGTTTTGCCGCCATAATCAATGGCCTTTTACCACTTGCATTTGCATTACTCTTATCCGAACTCCTCACTGTGAGTGAAGACGGTTATTTTTCTTGTGCTGGATAGATTTATTGAAGTCTGAAATGTCACCCGTCTCTTCCCCCAACCCTCAACCGGCGCCTGTCGGGGAGGGGGGGGGGGGGGGGGGTGGGGTGAAGAGAGAGATGACATTTGAGACGAAGATATATTAAAAATATTCGACTTGATGATGGAAGTGTTCGTGAGCATTTTTTTTTACACGCCAGT